GCTTGGACCTCTGGCTGACAGCATGTGCCAGATGTGAAGATCACAATCCAGGCGTGTCACCGGTCTGCACTCTTGTCTCTTCATAACCCTGGAATTCGACTGGCCAGACCAGCCGCCGGCCATGTCTCGCTTGCCTAGCCCAAGCTCGCAATTCGAAACAGACTCAGGAAGCGTGATGTTGTCCTCCGGGTTGATGACGGGGTCGTTTCTGACAAAGTGTTCAAACATGCTTGCCTCGAGGGCTGCAATCTCTCTGGCGTCTTCTTCGGGGATCTCCATAACGGGTAGATTGGCCTCAGCCTCGGCCAGAAGCTCATCTTGCGTGACGACATCGGGCCTACTCTCCAACGGAGTCACTTCGCGTGCTTCGAAGTCGTACTCTTCGGCTTCGCCGTCATCCTCGCCTTCAGTCGGGGTGGCGCTAGCTGATGCGTCTGTAGCAGACGATTCGTCGGCAGATGTTGCAGAGGCCTCGACGAGATCGGAAGAAGAGACTAAGGGGCTCGACTGCGCGCTGATGGAAACTTCGCCGGCAACAGAAGACGGTGTATCTACAGGGCCTTGATCCGAAGGAGACTCTGTGCCAGGAACTGGGACGACTGGCTCTTCGGACGGAGTGGGTGTTACGACAGGGGAGGTTACGTCGACAGGTACGTCCGTAGGGGTTGGCTCAACAGACGACGCGTCACCAGCTGACGAAACGGCTGCGGAGTCTTCCTGAGCCGAGACGAGAAGCCCCAAAAGGAGAAGGAAGCCAAAGGCCAATTTGATGAATTGTCTCATTATGGTAGACACAAGGGAGGGGTGAACAAGATGACTTTCGAGAGAAGCAATATCAGCGTGGCTGACACATGCGATTGCCTGGCTTGCTGTTCCCAAGGACGACTTATATACAGTACACGTCGTAGGGCATGTCGAATAAAATTCCATCGCGTCCACATGTTATCGCTCGACCAAAGATGCCTGCTGCCAAGCAAACCTGCATGTTGAGGCGCTAGACGGCGATAGCTTCGTCCACTTACGGCTCATGACAGTATCGTGGCGCTAGGTCCAGGTACGGCATTGAGCGTTCCGGGTCCCTGGTGGCGGCGCATTGTGTCTCTCAAGATGCTGAAAGCTGCGGCTGATGGTCACGGGCTGCAGGGACTAAGACAGAACCATCCCAAGGCGTTTGTTCTGTGACCATATTGCGCTGCCAAGACATAAGCTTAATTCAGCCTTGAAAGACTTGGCCACGAAGGGTCTGGCTATTTGGTAAGCGAAATCGTCCTCGAATCAGGTCGGTCGTCTTCAGCTAGAGTCGCCATCACTGTCCTTATGCAGACTGATGCTATTCACGAATCGACTGCGCCGCACCCAGCCCATAGCAGACGCCTCCGGGCTCATTCTTGTCAAGAGGCGTTCGCACGATGACATGGCACGAGTGTGGCTTTGATAATGGTTGGCGAAGCTTTTGCCTGACAGGGCGGTGTACGAGAGTGAACAAGTTCGAAAGCCCTCGTGATGACGCATTGGATCCCTATTTGAGATGCCACACCACCGATATGGAGATGCTGAGGAACGATTTTCAGGCAGGATGTGAGGCATAAACCTGTGTCCATGGCGTGGGCTCAATTGGCTTCGTTGAAGCCTCACCACTTCGTCGCGTCAACACCCCCGTTTTGGGTTAACACAATAGATGCGGGGAAAGACTCCACCAAAATGAAACGATTTCTACGCGAGGTTACCTCGTGAAACGCCGGGTCGGGCCTTTGTACTGATCTTGATCATTGCCCCTACCGACATTATAAATCTTAGGGCACGAAAACGATGGCTGCCGCCTGAAAAGCTGCTGTTCGGCATGTTCCGGGACGCTGATATCAGATGGCAGGTGTCAGAAAGTAGATGCTGAAACTTAGCACGTTAATTCACGGACAAATCACCAGTCCTGATGGTCGAAAACCCGGTGATCTGAAAGGATGCCGTTGCCGAATATTGTTCGCAGTCTCAAGCCGTGGTGTCTGACCTAATTGCAAGCCAAGTGTCGGTGGTATGGAATGTTGTTGCATTGTTCACTGCGTGTCCCACTACCCTTGGAATATTGTATGCATAAGGAATCTTCTAGTCGCTATCGCTCGCGTACATCCACTGATATCTCTGTTGTCTTGACGATGCGGTGTTCCTCCAGATTGCCCTGTAGGTAGAAGCTCTTGTTTGTGTCGGAAGAAACGTGGGAATGGATTCCAGTTGGGACACTGGTAGCAGGACTCTCGGTTCTGAAGTCGTCGAGCGCTAGCTCCTCTGTGCTTGTGCTACGCATTTTCTGGCTTCTACTCTCGGTGGACTGGAAGCCAGTATGCGCCATCGCTGCCGATGCCGAGCCGTACCGATGGTATGTGTTGTGATAGTTGCGCGCGGATGAGAGGCCAGCGCCTGGAAGAATCCGGGCGAGAAGGGGGCGCAATGTTGGTAGTGAAGACGCAATGATGGCAACATTGAGTTCGAGGCAGGACCAGATTGCGACGCTAATATTATCCCACGATGGGTCGGTACTGATGACTCCGGTTCGAAGAGTGAACATGCGGTAGATTGAGATGATGCAAACACTGAAGACTCATCATTAGCTTCAAAAAGCATAGCAAAGGACTACGCTGAGGTGGGACGACGTACAAGAAGCCGAGGCAAAATACAGTAAGCACCAGCATTCTCTGCTTCAGAGGGAGTTGAAGTTTCAACACCGAAGGAATCGGAATGCAAAATATCATAATGTCGGTCGCCATACTCATGCCGGAGGAGAAATACCAGATGGGCAGTGTATCGAGGCATTTCCCGACCATACTGGGAACAATGAACGAGATCGGTAGGCATGCGAGCGACAGAAGAATAACCTGTACGCACGTCCACATGCAGACGAAAATGATGAACCAGTAGCACACCTTCTGCACTATTGGTTGTTCGAAGATTCGTCGATACTGGAAGAGGAAGCCCAGCTTCACAACGTTGATACCCAGATTATAGCTGAGGATACCAACCAAGAGCCACTGTGTACGTCTGAAAGTTAGCATCATTGAACTCCATAACCAACCCGTACAAGATCGAGGCGGACTCCTTGACCAAGCTCGTGGATAGGACACTGACCTTTAGGTCTCCGCACCCTCTGCAGCCGAGACATTCTCGGAGTGTCTTCCCAGGCCATATTTTACCTCGAAGCAAATGGCAATGGAGTCGACGAGAGCGAATATCTGCTCGGTAGGTCAGCATCAGAAGAGAAAGACGCCTCAGGCAAGACTGACGGTTGCCACCAGTATGCTCCAGTCATCTTTGCCGATGGATCCTAGAATCACTCCACGAGTGTAGAATCGACCTGCAAGACAAAGCACAGAAGCCGATATGAACCCCACGGCTATACCGACGCCCATAGGCCCCCTCGTCTCGGTTCTGATGATAGTAGGCAGATCCGCCATTTCGTACTGTCCATTCAGAAAAAAAGGGCTAGAAGACTCGGAAGGCCACGCAGGGCTGGAAGGACCTGGTGGTGTATATGTACCCTGATGGGTCACAGCCACGAGGATCGGACGTAGCTTAATTACAAAGGACACCAGACAGACATCGGGGACGACAGGGTTCGGCGTCGATCAACAAAGCCCATATGCGAAGGGTTGGTGTCTTCCATGCGTTCTGCAATTACGCTTTGGCCGATGCAAATAATTGATCTGCGAGTAGGATGACGCTACAGGCGGAGGCGGAGAGAATGCCCACGTCTTCCCAGGATCTCCGGCGTCTGGAAGGCCTTGAGAAGGCCTGAGCAACGGTTTCATCCGCGGCCTCCGGCCGGTCCATTCCCTCCAAGGCTAACTGTGGAGCAGCTGAGAGGCGTATTGGGTATCCTCAGTGATTAAGTTGGAAGCCTTTCGTGAGGGACCCCCCTACCTTAGTCCATGAATTCAGCACACCATTAGTTAGTACGCCATGTGCCGACTTTACCACGAACGTCTTCGTGGCGTCAAGGTTGTCCAGGAACATTCCGCGGCGTAGCGATTGATGTTACAAAGATGCTATCGAATCCCCTCAGTGGCTGACTCCACAAATGCCGCCCAATGCCGAAGGCACGCTTTTGCAGGCTCCGGAGAAGAGCAATGACATGATCGGTCAGTGCACGCCTCTCCATCTTTGCTGTTATCAACGAGTCAGTTCTCGTGATGGAAATGCATACTGTAGTTGAAAAGGGGTCCCGCTCCGGATGCATACATGGTACACAGAAGCGATTGCAAGACCCTGAAGCCATTGCACTATACGTGCGCAGGGCATGGCTGTGATGTGGCGTATGTGCCGGCCTACCCATCTCCGCACAGACGCATCTCCAGCTTTCAAGCTTTCTAGCTTTCCTGGTTCAGATCCCTTGACGCTGCTCCACCCCCGCAGTGGTTGGCTCACTCGTACAACCCTGGCAACATAGCGCTGACAGGCGCCCTTGTTTCTAGACTCAAGGCCGGGGAAGGACACCGGCTTCCACAGCCGCTGCAGCAAGGGCCGAAATGAATGACACCATTTGTGACTAGCCAGGTTCCCCCTGAGCGAGTCATTTACCAACACAGCAGGGTCTTGGACGACAGGCGGCTCAGAGAACTTCCATCCAGCACCCCTGTTTTGACTTAACCATAAGCTCTTTCCAGAGGCTAGATCCAGCTTGGTTGAACTCCCCCGCCGCCTGCCGTTACTTTCCGTAAGGCCTCGGGGCATCGGTGACAGGTCCGGCCAGCTATTTCAGCTGTGACCTTGTCTAGATGCAGGCCCTGAGTCTCCCACCTCATGGCCCAATGTCTCCTTCCTGACCAAGCAGGTGATCCGGTAGCGGTACAGGGAACGAATTCCAATTATGCAACGCATTCTGTCAAAATACCCCTGACTACAGGAAGAGCTGCCCGTCTCCTGCAGCATTACCGGCTGCCTGAGCCCCACGTTTATGCGGCAATCTCGGAAGTATTGGCGAGGAGCATTCGTTTGCGTGGAGCTGCAACGTTGATTCGTCGCGAAAACAGGCTGCGTTCAGGCCCTTTGGGCTTATTAAGGTCATTGTGTATCGTCCGTTGCCTGTTCGCCTGCGGAATGAGGCCATACCCAGCCATTGATCGAGCACTATTGGCTCTATCTGCAGAAGGCTCGGCAAATGCAACGTGCACGCTCGAAGCGATGTCCGTCGTTGCTCCGCGTACGATTGTAACGGCAAGCGGTGTCTTTACCCCATCCCATGCTTGATAAACACTGGAAGCCTCGCCCACAAAGAAGGTAAAGAACCTTTTCCTTTGCAAGCGACTCTCGTCAAGCTCGTTGGTTCCTTCTGCACCTATTTGCCAACCAGCGAACATCGCCATCAGCCATGAAGCTTTCACAGTCTCTTGTTGCGGCCATTGCGCTAAGTGGCAGTGTCTCTGCTGAGCCTGACTCGTATGACTACGTAAGTGAAGGCTGTGTGCCGCTCGAGCGGTTTGACACGTTCCAGGCACGCTGACAGGGTGGCAGATCGTCGTGGGAGGTGGCACTGCTGGTGCCGCTCTCGCTACGCGTCTGAGTTTGGGCCTCCCCAAATCGAAGATCTTGCTCGTCGAAGCAGGTCCTGCCGCTCCCGATGATCTCAGGATCAATGTTCCTGGCTTCCGGGGGTCAATCTTGGGGTCTGAGCTCGATTGGAATTTCACAACGGTAGGACAGTCGGCGCTTGATGGCCGCTCAGTTCTTGTGAACCGCGGCAAGGTTCTTGGCGGCTCGTCTGCCATGAACTACCTTTGCTATGACCGCGCGTCTGCGCCAGAGTACGAGTCCTGGGCCGAGTTCGGCAACAAGGGATGGGGTTGGAACACCATGATCAATGCCATGACCAAGTCGGAAAATTTTACCGACGACGACGACGACCGACATGGTTTCAAGGGGCCCATCCGCAACTACTACAATCGTGTGGTATACCCTGTGCTGAGGCTCTGGGAGCCTGCCGTAAGCAAGTTGGGCATCAACATCAACGACCGCCAGAGCATGGGTGGTGAGCCCATTGGAGTAGGCTTCCAGCCGACCAACATAGATGTTACAAGGCACACTCGATCTTACTCAGCGAGCAGCTACCTTCCTTTGGCTGGCAAAAACTTGATTGTCAAGACAAATACCCAGGTTGAGAAGGTCAATTTGGTCAAGCGCAAGAGTTCGTACCAGACCACCGGCGTGACCCTTCCCGGTGGTGTCATCATCACCGCCAAGAAGGAGGTCATTGTTTCTGCTGGTTCCGTCCAAAGCCCGGGTATTCTTGAGCTCTCGGGAGTTGGCCAGCCCAATGTTCTCAAGGCGCTGGCATCACTCCCCTTGTCAACCTCCCTGGTGTGGGCGAAAACTACCAGGACCACATCCGCGTTTCCAACACGTACCGACTCAAGGATGGCATCGATTCGTTCGACAACCTCATCTTTGACAACGCGGGGGTCAACGCCACAGGTGAACTGCAAAAGTGGCAGGAGGGTAAACAGTCGCTATACGAGTATACAACTGCAGCCTACGGCTTCATGAACTGGAAGCAGCTCGGCATTGAGGCCAAGATCAAGAAGATTGCCACTGACGTCTTCGGCTCCAGTAAAAACGTTGTCGACGCCAAGAAGCTGCAGTTCCTCAATAACTCCCAGGTCCCTTCGGTGGAAGTTATCTACGAAGCCAACTATGTCGGCGCCTTTGGCTACACTGGTGGAAAGTTTGTAACCTTCCTGTCCACGGTCATGCATCCCTTCTCGCGCGGTAGTGTGCATATCGACCCCCAGAGCCCTCGTGGAAAGCCCATCATCGACCCAAAGTTTTTGAGCAACGAGTATGACCTTACTGCTCTTGTGGAAGCCGCAAGATTCTCTCGCCGCATCGCCGAAACTGCACCCATCAAGGCAACCTGGGAGGCCGAGACTGAGCCCGGCCCAGATGTCCAGACCGACGAGCAGTGGCGCGCATTCGCGAAGAAGGCCATGGGCAGCTTTTACCATCCTGTTGGTACCTGTGCCATGCTGCCCCGAAAGGACGGTGGTGTTGTGGATGCTGAGCTTCGCGTCTACGGAACCACTGGCCTGCGTGTTGTTGATAACAGCATCATTCCCATTATCCCTTCGGCTCACATCCAAACAGCCGCTTATGGCATTGCTGAAGTTGCCGCAGCCAAGATCATTGCTTCTGCGTAACCGCATGTGCAGAGCTGTCTTTTTGAGCGTCTTGGGTCGGTTCATGACGTACCTGCAAGTCGTTGATGAACTTTCCCGTTCGCATCTCGTTGAGCTGTCAGTCGTGTAGCAAAAGGTCTATGCTCGCAGAAACCCCTCCTGTATTTACCAACCGTCAGTTGAGCTGTGAAGGCTGCGTGTTTGACCTCTTGCACCAGTTTGACGTCAAGAAACAAAATCTTGTATCAAATTCCGGTAATCATAACTCCTTGAAAACCTGATGAAATGGAGCATTAGTTGCAGATCAGTGACCCATGTTGTTTTCCTTTCAACGGGGAGGTTTGAATCAGGAGCGTAAACTGCAAGGTCCTAGATTTGACGTTAAAAAGTGCTCGATTCTTCCTTGCACGATTATCGAGGCAAAAACTTCCCAAGTCTCTTCCATGGAGGGATTTGACCTCTATAGAACCAAGCTATGCGGAAACGCGCCTCGGTGTGAGGTCAGAAATACACGTTGCCAGCCAGGTTCACTCGCTTACGACAACTGCCAAAGTTTGGGCTTGCCTGCAAACGTGCTAGAAAACGAGAAAACGACATTTCCAAGGGGCTGTATGCATTTCAGTAAACCCGTTGCAAGCAAAGTTCGACTGCAACTTGTGTGGATGTGCTTATTATTTCGAAAAGTTCGTAACTTTCTTGAAGCAGAGGGAAATACCCTGAGCTCACTATTGACAGATTTGGGAGCCGTTGAGATTCCATCTTTCGTATGCCAAACAGTCTCGGCACATGTTTTGCTTGTTAAGTATTCCCGCTGACTACGAGTAGCAATTCATCCCAAGTTGTCAGCTCGAGGGCGTTCACCCCGCTGGGGGTAAACTGTATGTGTTCACATGTTGTCGTATCACGGCTTTAGAGGAGGACCTTGAGGCATTGATGATGAGAAGCTTTTTTCGATCATCTGTATCCATAATATAAACATTAAGTGTAGCTCAGCATAATGCTCAAGCGTAAGAAGGTGAACAATGGTTGCCGTATACACACTCGTCAAGTTCCGTGTAGCTCACAGCGTGATAACACATCCTAAGCCAACCATAGAGCATGTGGGGTAGACGACTTTATTCTAGCAGTCACCCTTACCCTTCTTGAACTGTCCACGAACAGCGCCAGGAACTGCCAACGAGGAGTGGATGTCCACGTAGTAGTCAGTAGGGTTCTGCTCGATGCGGCTCAGGGTGAAACCCTCGCCAGCATCAGGGCCGCCGTTAGGCTTGACACCAGTGACGAAGGGGCCCTTGATGCACCCAATGGAGGTTCGAACGTCGCCTTCACCTTCGGGGTCGGGGAACACGACCCTGGAGCGCGTTAGACCATGTGTTATGAATCAAGGGACGCGGATAAATAATATACCTAGGAGGTCCAGACTTGCCCTTGGCACCTTGGTGGATGTGGGTGGCAGTCAAGGCCGGGGACTGGTACTCGCCCTGGAAGCCGGAGACAGAAATGTTGTAGCAGATAACATCCTCGTGGGAGTTGATGCCGAAGTTGAACCAGGACTTGGAGCCCTTGAGACCGCCGGTGTAGACGCCTTCAGGGTTGACGACCTCCTCGGGAGTGGCATAGACGCTGAAAGTCGATGTGAAGGCGAAAGGGAAAGCAGAAGCGCCCTTGTGAATGATCTTCTTGGTGGGGGTGGCCATCACGGCGGTGAGGCCGAGGGCGAGAGCAGCGACGGAGAACTTCATTGTGATGGATGTTTGGTATTTGGGTCTTCAGTAAAAGAGTGTGTTGTGAGATGAGGTTGTAGATATGTCGTTGGCTAGTTGATGATTATGTGACTGATGAGTTGAGAGATTAGTGGTAGTAGTTGGCGTTCGCCCTCATTATATAGATCGCTAGAGGAACCGCTTGATACGCCATGCATCATCCCGCATGAATCACAGAAGACCAGGATCGCAAGTGCCCTGTGATGGACGGGAGCCAAGAGCGAGCTTCCTCATCCTCGTCGTCATTCCGGTGGCTCTCCGCGGTCCTCTCGAACAACAACACTACGCCGCCTGCAAGTCGGCAGATTTCAGATTAGGTGCCGGCAGGGTGGATCAAAAGCTCGGCGTTCGACGGGACACAACGACTCCGACGGGCTGATGGACACTGTGGTCACCCCTTTTGCCTCATCATGGTTGGTCGTTGGTAAAGATGGGGCCCAGAGACAACCGAAGGAGTCTAAAGCCGCATGTCGTTTTCTGGCATCGTAGTCCCTCCCTGCTCATTTCGATGCATTCCATTGGCTCCACTGAGTGATCCAGGGGCTTGGGAAGCTCCGGTTGCATCCCTTCTGTGTGTTGGCAAGCCTTCGTATCAGTGAGGCCAAGCCTGATAGTCCGAAATTCAAGATGCTTTTCCGCGATCGACGCCATGGGCTGGTGTCTTGGCCCCTGTCGTCAGCCAACGGTCACCAGGCTCGCAGGCTGCGCAGTAAAAAGTAGAAGACCTGGCGAGAAGGCTTCATCAGGGCCAGTATTCAAGTCACCAAGAAGAGCAGCAATTCGTCAGACGCACCCAGTCGAACGAACGGATAGAGTTGGACGCGAGGCATAGCCTCTTGGCAAGTGCCTAATCGAGTACTGGTCCTAGGAGTCCTGCACATTGTCGATCTCTCACAGTGGATCAATGTCCCGGATGTGCCATCAGCCGCCATCTTAGCGTGGGAGCTATACCTAAACTTCATCCGATTGCCTTCCAATTATTGGGCCCGACGGCTTGGCATACGATCATCCACATGATTACACCTTTTGAGCTCAAGAAGCTCCATGCCAAAGACAGACATTGTCCAGCTCCTGTGCGCACGTGTGGTCCTCATCACTATTCCCCAGGTTTTGACCAAGATGTTTCATGGACAAATTTCCACATTATACCACCCAGACCAGCCTGACACCCACCATCTTGTTGCTCTTCCACCAATCCTGTTTTCGGGCCTGTACTTGCTATCGTGGCTGTGTATACTGGGGAAATGATGGGTCATCAATTCGACGTACAAAGTGTCAAGCCAAGCGCCTATGTCCCTATCTAGATGCACGGATACTTACGATGGGCCCTGCCCAGTCCGAGCTTGTCGTGCCGCTCGGAAAGCAATAAATCCGTCTAGGTGCCAGGGGGGCATGCCCGGGCCCCTTCATGGGAACTCCAACATCTCGGTCTGCGAAGGGTGTTCATGGACTCCGTGGAGGAACGAGCGCTTTTAGATGAATAGTGACCCCACCAATCCCATTTGATCGAAAAGTATCATACACTGTTTTTCCGCCTAGGCGCTTCAATCCCAGACTTGGTAAACAGTGATGCAAGGGCCCGTTTTCCAAGAGTCGCCGAAGACTCGGGTGCACATTGGCCGACCTTTGCCCAGCAGCTTGACTCCCTTTCGAAACCGGCGCGGTTGATCTGGCCATTTCCAAGGCATTCTGTCGTCATTAACCTTGATTAGACACAGCTCCGAGGGTGTTCGGCTTCGGAGCTAAAACTTTGCGCTCTCTGCTCGTTCGAGATGATTAATTCAGTCGCTGGAACCAGCGGCCGGCGAAGTTCCCGTGGGCTGCGCCTCGACGACCAGGCCTAGGATGTACTCAACAGACGAATGACACCTCGAACCTAGCGAGCTCCACATCCCTGCTTCGATCATTTACCAGATCGGGGTCATGTCACTGATCGACAATCGTAGCCTCTACAGACCCGCCTGGCCCAAGGTTAATTGCGGTCTTTTAGCGTACCCCGCAAATGACACTTCGTCAGAGGTCATCTACAACCTCCGCTTCACAACGGAAAAGGATGCCCTTGTTGCCCAAAGGATTATGAAGCAGCTATTACGGCCCACGTGATGACTTGCTCCATCTCCATTTCACTGGTGGACACTGATCCAACGTGGTTATCTTTCTCCCCCCTCTGATCATTTTTATTCCCATTCCTCGTCACAGACTCCTTCCACCGGCCGCCGTGGCATGCATGCCGAATCGTTGTGTTAGTATGCTAACACGCTGCTAACACCGCGAAAGAAAAGGCGCTAGTTCAAGTGCCAATAAGCATAACCAAGCTTGCTACCTACTTAGGTGGGGATTTCAGCCCAGAGCAAGTGGCTGAAAGTGGTTAAAAGCCTCTCTGTGCCTAGCAAAGTCAGTTCACCGACTGCAATTCCAGTGGTGATGTAACTCTTGTGATTCGGATGTATCGGAGCTCGGCCTGGCCCATGCAGATAATCTCAACTATTCTCCGTGGACCCGGACTTTTACGGTAAACCAGCTACAACATGATCAAGGGAGGGACAAATGTCCTAGTCCATGTTTTGCCATGCATGCATGTCTTAGCCGATATCTCATCTCCAGTGCCTGGCCGCGTCAGAATCAGGGGCCGTCCCGAGATCGTAATCTCATTCCTCAACGATAGACCCTTCGACCATGGTTTTCTTTTTCCCAGAGCCCAGGCCCCGACACGCTCTGACCCATCATCTGAAAGCCTGGGGGTTTGTGAAGTCTCGGACACTTGGTGTGTGGCACCCCACAACGAAGATGACTTGAGCTGACCTGTGTGCTCGCATCCCGACCAAGCGCTTTCAATCCAGGTTCTTCTGGCCGTCATCTCAATGCAGTGAGATACGTGCTTAATCACTCGTAGGCTGCATCGAGTTGCGCCATATGTTGGGAGGACAAGTGGCCATTTAAACTGGGTGTTAACTCCCTGCAGCAGTGAGAGCGTATCATTCGCTTGTTGTCGACACTACACGCCTCCCAGCTAAGATACGGGCGAAGAAGGCCCTACACAATGGGGGAAATGATCAGACATACGAGGTCAAAGCACGCAAGTAATTCTCGAAGTCAGCTTTTCTATATACATAAACCGTGTGTCATTCATGGGAGTACATGTTGACAGAGCACCCGGTCACAAACTACTTGTTGTGTATTGTCATGGCTCTACTGATGGAGAAGTACCTTGCTTGGGGTCTATACTTGACGGCGGAAGCTTGCTGTTGCAATAAAACGTGGTTGGTTTCTGCTGCACAGTCTGCTCATACAAGCTTCTCTGGCAGATATCGCACATTCCGAGACTCACTACAACGAAAGTCGCGGGAGAATAGTATTACGCCCTGAACCATTTGGACTTGCAGTTTGGGGTCAGCGAAGCTAATGTTTCTCCATACCAGCATCATTTAAGCCAATGGTAAAGGCTTGGGGGCCTCAAAGAATGATGTCGGCATTCGGACGCGTCGCATGATTTGGAATACAGGACTAGGCAACTCTGACGCGTTTCATAGGCTCATCCCTCACCCAAGACTCTGACTCACAGGAGCGTTTCTTCCGTCGCGATCCCAATCGGACGGCCTCTTCCCGCACTCTCTTTGTCTTTGACTGTGATCCACGACTCGCCATGAGTTGCTTTTGCAACTTTTTCAAAGCCACCGGTCCAAGCTCTTGTAGTTTCATGGCCCTCCCCGACGAAATACTCCATGGCTCTCCCGGTAAGCGCTTTTCTTGTTCCGGCTTCGGATCTTCCTGGACGATGTTATGTTCTGGAGCATCATATGGGCTCCTCAGCTCTTGAGATATCTCTTTGCCTTTCTTGTCCGCTGGTGAGGAGGCTGGTTTCGTCTCATCCTCACGCAATAGGTAGTTTTTCAGCTCGCCGTATGTCGGTGGCCAGTCTCGATGGCCTTGCCACCGGACTACTTCTGAAGCCAGTGATTCAAGGGGCTCGTCATACTTGGCGAGCCTGGCGACAATTCGGAACGGAAAATATTGTTGCAATAGTTGCCCGAGTCGAACTTCTTGTGCACCTGATATGATAACGTTACCGAGGTACCTGGCTAGAACATCGGTAAAAGGACGTGGACCGTATTGCATCAGTGTTGTAACATCAAACACAGCGCCGTCATAAGCCACATATGACGCCGCAAACCCATGACGACCATAGAACATGTCGCCGTCATGCATCACCAGTTCAGCTTCGCTCATTAGAGGCAGGTCTTTCGTGCCGGGCGTTATTTTCGCGACGATTAGCTCTGGCTTGCTGTTAGATATTAGCAACAACGGGCGTGTCTCTGATGGCTCGAAGCTGGGCTCCATCGCGAGGACTTTCTTCGAAGCATCTTTGCCACAGTAGGATTTGAGAGCAACGAATAGCTCCGCTTCTGTCTCCCGAAGGGGCGCAATATCGAAGATCTTGTCCTGGATACGAATTTCGGTTGTAGAGAGTTTTTCGGAGCGAGTACGAGATGATACAATACGCCCTACCCGCAGGCCTTTAATGGCTTCCAAAAGGTCTTTTCCATTCTCAGAATGGTACTCCTCGAAAATGGTTGAAGCATTGGTCCCGGCAGCATGGGCCAAAAACTTTGTGCCTCCAGGGTGCCATTGGGCATAGTCTGTCAAATTTTCATCAGCATGGATTACGTGAGTCGAACTTACGGTACACTATAGCATACCAGTGATGTCGTAGACATGTTCATGGATCTGGAGGTACTGTCGTGTTTGAGGAAATTGATTCCATCCAATTTCACTATTTGTAAGTACATCTTTCGAGCCAGATTCATCAGCCAATCCGAACGGAAGGGTCATTCCAATCTTTAAAGGCTCTATCAGTGCCAGTGCATCGTCGAAGTCGTGATCCCCAAGGAAGACACGCGGCATCGGGTTGCTCCCAGGGGCGCTCATCAGTGTCTCCACGAGGTTCGACTGGCTTTCTGAAGCCAGTTCTTTCAAGTCTGTAAGGCGTCAGATGTTTTCGGTTGCATGAAGAGAAAGTTTAGGGGGAGGCGAACCTGTCAAATCATAGACAAACCCAGCCGCTGTAATCCAGTGAGGGCGGCCCTCCTTGCCATCGCGAATGGCAACATCCTCCTCGCGTAGCCACTGAGCTACCCGTCCTAATGGCAGAATTCCATGTGATTTGGCGTAGAACTCGTCACTGACATTCTTATTAAGAACGTGTCCGTAGGCGGATGGCTCCATCTCATCGCGCACCTCGTCAGCCGTCATCGTTAATACCTGCATGACATCTTCCAGCTCGAAAATCTCGATCTCCGAATCAAAAAGAACCAGCACGAGGACACTATTTTCTTGAACACGCAAGTCGTACAGCCTGCCCAGTGTGAAATATTCGAGAGCGCGGGGTTCCACCTGCCCCCCCAGCTGTGCATGGACAGGCTGCAGTAC